ATTCATTCATTCATTCATTCATTCATTCATTCATTCATTTATTTATTTATTTATTTATTTATTTATTGCATAAGAAAAGAAGACCTATTGTTTCTTCCCCCAAAACAATTCCTCTAGGAAATCAATGCAAGTGAATAAGTAAAAAAGAAGTCGGAATAAAAACAGAGTAAAAATATGTGAGGTTTCGTAGTTGCGCGCTCAACTTTTGCAGCGTGTGCCCAAAGCTCAACATTTTATGACTTGATTTGTAGTTAGAAGAAAGACAAAGAAGAGAAGCAAGAGAAAGAGCAGAGTCTGGGGAGGAGTGGAAAACAAAGGTAAGAAAAGTGCTAGTTTGGTCACGCAAGTACATTCMCTTGAGAGTTTCTTTCCTTTAGTCGTATTCATGATGGTAATATCTCCTCCAGTGTTTCTGGCAAACAAAGAAACATAATACTCAAGGGAATGACACATGGTATGAAAGGTCTATAATGGACCCTTCTCAAAACTACTTTAGTACGAGGCCAACATGGAAATACAAAAGAAATCCCACAAATCACATCGAGAAAAATGTCTGATTTTTTGTGTGTTTTCATGTTAGCTTTAAACACACAAAAATGAGGGAATGATCTTCCATCCAACATGGCTGCTGATCCTTCCTGATTTTTCGCCCCCAGATTTTTCATCGTCATGGCGACGGGTGGCGGTTCAACAATCATTTATCGTTACGAGAGTCAGAAAGTAGTGAGTCAACCGACGCCAAGAGTTGAGACAAAAAATGATGTAGTTTTTAGGGACTATGATAAACTTATCTTGGGAATGAGTCATTCCTAGAGACTGTAAAAGCAAAAAATGCTGATAAACGTTCGAAGGAAGAAGAGAAAAAAATCAATATTTTTTGCAGAGTTCGATAATTCAATATGGCGGCTCTGACGTCACACGCACGCGCAGAATACATAAACTAATTATCTAAACACGTTAATAATCAGGCACTCTAGCAACACGAAAAAAAAAATCTATTGTTCATATAAATTGCAATTGATGTCACGATATTTCAAGAAAAAGAAAAAGAAAAAAAAGATATATTTGTTCTTCCCTGTCATGAAACCCCTCTATTGAATATGATAGAGTAGAACTGAGAAAGTAGAACGAATTAAAATAGAAGCTTATATTTAGCCAAGAAAACGTTGATACACTGACATCTGCAGGAAGCTCCGTTGGGCGGCTATTTCAGTTGTAGAAAAGATAGAAAATCCAGATAGGCACTAGTTCAGTCTCCGAGCTACCAATAGACCCCTTCACAGTTCCCTGCGCCATCTTGAAAGGTAGCCGTGCCTTTGCATCGAAGTGAGACGAACGGTGAGCTTGCAATGATAGAGACCTTTTTTAACACCTTGGACGATTATTCACATGTCTCTATCATTGCAAGCTCACCGTTCGTCTTGCTTCGATGCAAAGGCACGGCTACCTTTCAAGATGGCGCAGGGAACTGTGAAGGGGACTATTACCTTAGGATTAGCCTCCATTTTGTGTAGAATATTCATGTTTTCTAATGAAAATTTGGAATTTCAAAGTGTTTGTATTGTTGAAGTTGTGCAACGTTTACTTTACTTTTCGTATTTGTAGATGTGAATATTCCTGACACTGAAATAAACTCGAGTAAATGAGTCTGTGATTAAGGAACACAACGTTAACGCTAGACATGCTGCGTGCCAAGACATTCAATGAATGCTTTTATGAATATGTAAGGTACCTGATAATTGATAGCCACTTGACTCCAGTGGCCGCCTAATAGAAGTTTGACCGTGTAGCGTTTGCTTGTTGATACTGCATAATGAATTGCGTATTATCATCACTGAAATAAGAGGCAAAAGTAAAGAAAAGTATTCTGTCATATGGGCCTTTCCTATGTTATYTTGTGATATTTAACAAAACAGTGACGAATAGTGACGTTAGAAGGTTATTTAAAAAAAAAAAACATCCTCGCAAACTGAAAGGTTGTCTAGTGAACAATGAATTTCAGCTCCAGTCATCGTGGTAAATTATAACGAGAGTCTTTTAGAAACCAAAAGCAGGCTAAACCAATATGTTTTACCTATTGTAACCAATACATCTCGTTTTGTAGAAATACAGAATACTTTTCTTTACTTTGCATAGTGAATTGCAGCTCGAGTCATCGTGGTAAATTATAACTAGAGTCTATTAGAAGCCAAAACCAGGCTAAACCAACATGTTTTACATATTGTAACCAATACATCTCTTTTTGTAGAAACTGTTGTAAGCATTGTTCATCTCGTATACTCACTACTTCAACGCTCTTTCCATTGTGGAATCGCGCTCAAAAGGATGGAAAGCTAATTAGCGGTTTTCACGGTCAAAAAGTACAGACACGTGTTGACCTAAAGGCGGGAAAAACGCAGCCGCGCCGATCACGTGTTAAATTCCGCGGTCTCCGACGCACGGGCCTCTCCGGAAAGCCACGAAAACCAAAAATACTAAACCGGATGATCTTAAAAGTTCACTCTTTGTAGTCGCATTAGCGCACTTGAGATGGTTACATGTTTCCTGTTTTTATGGTTGAGTTTTCGAGGGGTTCGAGGAAATAACAAGTTAATACCGCGAAAGAATGACTGGCGTATTTCCGTCATAAATGAATCTAAGCGTGCAGGAAAAGAACCGTTATTTGGTAGCGGAAGCTGTAGTTATCAAGAGAATCTCGAATGTGTTGATACTCCAATTTCTCCTTTCTTTTTCTCTTCCTGTCCTTGTTCTTGTCCTTCTGACTGAGTGTATATCTCTTATAGTCACTTAAGCCCCGTTTACACTAGCGACTTTTGCGGCGATTTTTGCTGCGATTTTTTGCGATTTTGTCCATAATAAATAGTGGTAAAGAATTTACTCGCAAAGTTTTTTTCAGGATACCAAGATTTTCCTAGACGAATGTCTCTTTTAAAGGATGAGACAAAAAATTTCATATTTCTGAAAATTGCCACAAAAATCGCAGCAAAAATCGCAGCAAAAATCGCCAGTGTAAACGGGGCTTTAGTTAGCTTGTACCTTATATTAATAGTTTTTATATATAAATATTTTTCTTCTTTTACAAATTCGTTACTAATGAATAACCTCCTTCCTCTCTTTCTTCTCCTTCTCCTTCTTCTCCATACCTTTTATCAACATCACAGTACAAATGTAACATAAGTAAAAGGAAACCCTTCAGGGCTTATAAACTTTTCATACGAATGCTAACCATTTTCCCATGTGGGATGATTTTTTATCAAGACCTCTTGTTCGGGCCATTAGAGTTCAGATCAGTGTAAGAACCTTGAAAGGCATATCCGGATAGCCTTAGGGATGGAAAAGAAGATTTCTTTTTACAAGGAAGGAAAACGGACGCCCGAGCCCGAGGAAAACCCCCGAAGCGAATGAGGAAACCAGTACTAAGAACCGCGATAAGTGACTATTGACCGTGTCTGGTAACCGGAAATGAAACCCACGACTGTACCGATGGGAAGCGAAAGGAAACACCACTATTCGCGCGACGACTTGTTGCATGAACTTTACTTGCCGGCCAATATTCATGTTAGGGAGCTTTTCTTTATTCCAATGTATTTTCCGTATTTTATAGTTTATCTATACGCATATTTCGAAGAGAATAATATAAAACAAAGAAATGGCTTCAGTTTTCAGTGGCGGATCCAGAGGGGATCGAAGGGGTCCACGGAACCCCCCTTGAAGGTCTGATCTCTTAGGTAATAGAAATATGTCTTATATGAATTTTAATTTWAAAAATATTAGTAGTTTTGCGTTGGGTCGTGTTATTATAGCTTGGTCCGTTACTAGATAGTAAATTAGGTGATTAGGGCCAATTTTTTTGTCAAACATCGACTAAACAAAAGAGAATTATACACAGTTTAAGAAACGGAACCCCCTTTGAAAAACCCTGGATACGCCACTGGTTTTTGATGATGATGTTGATACAGACTGGGGGGGGAAAAACCAACCAAATATAAGAGACGACGAGACGACTTTGATATACTCGTAGCTTATTGGATATTATCATCATTTGATTTTCCAGATAATGAACACCAACACCTCAAATTCTAGGCAATAGTCATGAAAAATTGAAATCCATTTTTAATAGTGATACAAATTGATTAGACTGATTCCATAAGTCGTATTTTTCGCTCCATAATCCACAAAAGAGCGAAAACAAGGACTTATGGAATCAGTCTACAAATGCGTCACTTGCATTATAGCTTCATTTACTACCACTACCAGAATCCCTTGCACACTTTCTTTTGCTCAGGTTGTCGAAACGTCAGTCACCAACAACAACAGTCTTTCTCAAGACTACACTCACCCGGACGATGACACTTTACAAAAAACTTTGTTCGGTTCATTAGCACCATTTAGTTCATTTACTATACTTAAGAGAAAATGCAAATTTAAATGAGCAAGAAAATTCGCGAAGCATTTTGGTAGTGGTAACAAAATGACCCTATGGTGYAAACGGCCTATTTAGTATTCACAAGGGTTTCCGATTTCCATTTTGTCTCACGCATGCGTCTCATGAATCATATATTTATTAATATATTTCCATTCTTTTCCATAAGACTTCCATTAATTCATCTGAACTAGTTCAGAAAAAAACGTTCTTGACTACTCTACAACAGTTGGTACGTTGGTCCTCTTAGCCCTTGATTATAAATAGAAAACGCGTTTTTGAATAAACAGTAGTAGACGTGCGACATCTCAGCTATGTTAACCTGAAGACGAGAGATCACTGCCGTTAAACTTGATGAAAACTAGACGCATATCTGCGTGAACTCGGGCTTCATAGCAGAAAGTCGAAAGAATTCTTCGTGAACATTGTCACCCTTTTTAGATGGTGCAAAGTCTGTGCAAAACCAAGCGTGCTAAAAATGTTGAGGGTGTTAGACTTCATATTATTCATTACTTGAAACAGCGACGAGTCCTTCCCCATATCCGTCCGCCATTACTCAAGCATGTGCTCATGGCTGATTCTACGCATGCGCATAGACTTTGATTTGACGCATGCGCCTTGGGCTTCGAGGGCGATTTGTGACTGAAAAAAAAAATAACGAAGCCCAATTTATACCTCGGGCATTTCTTCGAAAGCCCGAGTAATGACCATTTTTAATTAACTCGAGAGTCTTATCAGACGTCGCTATCTCTTCTATTAAGATCAAAGGAGAATAAGTTGTCATTGAGCGAAAAGATTAAGAAGTCTGAAGATTACTAATTTGGAACAACATCATTGATATCATTTACCATCCTCGACATCTAATAAAAGTTACAGTATCTTTGAATTCGTCCTAGAATTGACCTCCAGATTTTTAAGATATCAAACGCTTGACACAAGCATATGGAGTCTCGATCTAAATGGGTTTATCTGTAAAGCTCAGTAAGCCACCATTTTTTTTTTTTTTTTTTTTTTTTTTTTTTTTTTTTTTTTCAATGTTTTTTTTCGCCTTTCAATTTTACCAAAATTTAGGTTTAAAACTCTTCATTGAAATGACAGCAACGAAACAGTGGTCAAATAATGCTCCAAAGACAAGCGAAATTTATTACTAGTAAGTACCAGGTCAAGTATTGACTTTGCGGGAATTCCCAAAGGCAACAGGCTCGCCATTAACTTATCTTATCTTTGAAATTTGCCTTTCAAAACCCCAACAAGGTGTTTAAACATCTTTAAATAGCTGCATCAGTTGAAACTTAATTCTCACTGCTATCTGACAAGATGCGAAATGTTAAAATGACCCGAAGGTGCTTGCTCCATACCGTGACCCAGCCCTTCCTTATCGTTGGAGTGGGATGGATAGTTCACGTTCTGCCTCTCCCGATAAAGATAGATTACAAATACCATCTAAATATAGCCAACTTCCATCAGGACGACCCAACCCTTTTTTTTTTTTTTTTTTTTTTGTGCACAAGAAGAATTTTGACCTACCTTGAGTGTAGGTCAATTGTACCCAAGTTTCGAGTTCTCGGTTGCTCAAGGTTAGCCTTGATGTTGTATAGAATATTCATATGTTCCAGTGAAGGTCCCAGCGGAATTACTATACCGTTTCTGGTATATAAATTTATGAATATTTAGACCCTGAAATGAGCGGTGTTGTACAATTTATAAAATGTAGTGTTGAGTAAAAATATAATGATGGCAGTGACAACGTGGCATGTGCCAACGTACATAAAATCTTGCTTCAGTCCTGAACACCATCAATCAAACCTAGACGTTTCATTGTATCAACAGCTTGAACCAATCGGTTGTTCACTGACATCATTACTACACATTTCTCCTATTCTCGTCCGGTAACCTCGAACGTGGAATGCAGGAATCGATATGGTTCCGTTTCGTTATCGACTACAGATGAATGATAAACGTCCCCGCTAAATAATGAACCATTAATAGTCAAGACAGTTGACCTGAATATGGCAATAAATTTTCAAAATAAATTGTAAGCCCACGCTCAGCTTATGTATGGTAATTGTATTTAGGGTCATCCTATCGGCGAAAAGAGGGTTCTGGTGCATCGTATGCATGAAGTAAATATCGCACTTGCATCAGTGCATTTTTGCTTTTCCTATACTCTGAATGATAGAGAACTTAAATAGACCCTTCTTCTTGGGCGTAATGTTTTCCAATTTCGAACCACGTGTCATTCCCTTAAAAATAAGATTATTAGATTGGAATCGTCATTGCAATTTCATGTGTCTTCTCATGAGCAACCGTTAAGCAAAGAAATAATACTCTAAAGAATGACACGTGGTCTGAAATAGGAAAGCATCTGAAAAGTTGAGAGAACTATTCCCAAGCGTATCATCTTCTTTCTATAGCAACAAATGAATCATCGAAGGTTTGCAGATTGCAGAAATAAAAGAAAATCATGTTCCCATCTTGCAGCTTGCTCAACTCTAACGATATCGATAAGAATTTTCTGTGATAAGAACACATTACCCTACAAATCGTTTTTGCACGTGTTGTTCTGAATGCCTAGCATTCTCACATGTTCAGCAATTCAAATTTTTTATTGATTTTTTTCTCTCAAGGAAGGCATATGTTTTACAGTATGCGTTTGTGAATTATCTACGGTATTAACTGCAGAAGGTATTGCATAAGTAAGATTGATTGCGGTCGTTTAACCTTGGTCCTATGCAGTGTGGTTTGCTGATAAATACTGCAATATGTGGTCATATGGCCGCAGGCAGGATATCACAAGCATCGCGATGTTATGCATGGTATGGCGAGGTAATAGATCTTCATTTGGGTAAGATAAAAACCATTAATCACCATTAAGTATATTGGAAACTTAGACCTTGATGAACTATGAATACCATACGAGCTGTCTATAGACTCTTCATGACAAAACCAATCTCAAACCTCTGCAATTATATTATTTGATATTCTTGGTTTGCAATCAATCCCAAGAGAGCACAATAACAATAGGGATGTACGCCATATTGGAAGATATAACAAAAGAATTCATTGAAAAATCTTTTGTCAAATTCTTCCAACATGGCGGCTATGACGTCTATTGCAAACGAAGAATTGTGATGATGGGCAGTGGTATATCCCAGTTGAGATCCCCTCAAACCATAAAAACTATACTGAAAATCCTATATTTGAATCGGTTACATATTGATGAATTTGAACGTTGACAATATCTATCGTCTATGTGATTTTTCACAAAATATACATATCAAAGTCATCATGAAAAATATGAATTTTATATTTCCTATTCATTTGGCTATACGTGTTTTTTTTTTTTTTTTTTTTTTTTTGTAAGAAAATTCTACCTTCAAATTTTATCAAACAATGAAAATACTCTGGAATAATCTATTACTGAAAAGTCAGATCATCGCAACTTATTACCGACTCGAATTGGAGTTAGCCGTATGTTATAACGTCTCACTTGTTTGATATAGTGTTTTGAAATTACTTTTTTATTTATTATTGTATTTTCAATTCCAATATTTCTTAACGTCAGAAAGATGTGAAGATGATTGAAGGTTTCAGATAAACTTGATCATATAAATCTTACTTTTTGTACTTGACGTACATGGCCATCATCTATCTTCATTCTAGCGTATTAAATAGTAATATATTTTTAATTAAATTGGTCGGAATGATCTATCATCTATCACCCGAAGCTAGACGTAGTGATAGAATGAAAAATAAAAAACTGTGCCTATGTTTGAATAGTAATACGTCTTCCTTAACTAATTGCACCTAAGAATAAGCTAATCTACCTTAAAATATGAATATCTTATCCAGTAATACCATGGTAAAAAAAAATTCAACAACATTTGACCCCATAATAAAAGTAGTCCATTAAAGAGGACTTTTGAGGTGTAAATAAGGTTACACAGTTAATTTGTACGCATTACGAAGCGATAAATGCCATTGTCCTTTAGTAGGAACAGTACTTCTTTGGGGTACGTTGCTTAGAAGATATTATCTGGATAACCTAGAGCACGTCGTGAAAAGATTCATGCATTAATATAAAGTCATACTGCAATAGCTTTACTATAATCAATTATTTATCTCTTCTATGTGTCATATTTTTCGAATCTGTTAGTACTAATGTGTAATTAAATGACACCCCTTCGAACTTGTGGTCTGTCGAAAGAGTAGTTCGTAGGATGATAAATGAGCAGCTGACTCCAGGAAGTTATTTGTAAATTTTCGAGATGAAGTCGTAGACATAACTTACCCATATGCAATGATCGACCATTTGTGTCAAATTAATTATGAAGTATTTATTATCATAACACAGGCGAACTTATCTTGCTCGGCACTCGGATGAGTTACTTATCGTTTGCCTCAGATGGAAGAGAGTGATAAGCGTGCCAACAGGTTTTATCTGCATGTGAAATCTTAAACACGGCTCTTTTTCGATTCTAGCACGCTAACTCCGGTCCTTGGCGCTAGAGCGACACCAGTGAGTGAGCTGTGTATATTTGCAAGTCTATTATGTGAAGGCTATTTACAGTTTTGAAAAAACAATAGGGAACAAGTGAGCTCCTCCCTCTAAATAATAAAAAACCATTGGCAAAATAAAACAACCAAGTGATTTGCATGATTTTGTGTGTCGGTGTCATATAACAAGAACATCGGCCCCTAATCCGATTAGACCAATTCGTCTTCATTCTTATTCTTCAGATAACTACATTTGATAACCTCAAGTTCCTTTCGATGTTCCGTCTATTGATCCCAACCTAAAATAACTCAAAACAGATTGGAAAAAAAAGTCGTACAATCAGCTTAAAAACTGGCGCCCTAAGCTCGACAAATATTTGTACTTTCATGTGCCACGATCGACCAGAGGCCGTGAAGTTACTTGGATCAACAAGTTATTGGGTAATGTTTTTCTTAGATTCAAAAGCCTGTGATGTTATCATATGAAAGACGAGCCGCCCACTAGCGATATCGATCAGCTAGAAGACACCGATCACTGCTCGTGTTCTACAAGTTATAAAGTCACTTATTGACAAGTACGTTGCCTCGCATGCTCACAACTATATCATGGTTTGGTCCAATTTATTCGTTACTCTTGGATTGCTATGCATTTACTGCCTGCAAAACACAGAACAGTGTTCACCTCCAAAAGGCTGGCGGCCAATGCAGCCGCATGAAAGAGCAGAGAAAGCAGAGATCGTAGCATTCGGAACAGTTGTCGAGAGTCCACAAAGCGAGCCCGATGCTGTAGTCGAAGGACGATTCTACACTGTACTTCTCAAAGTGCACTGCATCGTCAGGGGACCCAAGTTGCCTCAATATATCAATGTATCTGGATTTTCAGATTTTTCCGGTGGATTATGCGTACATTCAAAAGCATTTTTGAACAAATCGTATGTCGTATTTTTGGAATTAGATCATGACAACCCCGGTGAGTTTCGAGTGCTTGAAGTCAACATTCAAAAGGGAGCCGTTCACGTTGGACACAAATTTGCGGTTTTAAGAGAGGTAATGTTACTATTTGGACAGAACGCTTCGTTGCCAATCGGTGCAGACAAAAACGTGAAACCCGGATGTCCAGATTTCGCGAATAACCGAGGAATATTCCGAGATCCTGAACCAAACAAACGCAAGCAGTCCAAAGCATGTCGATGCAGAAAGAAAAAGCAGAAACGTAAGAAAAAGAAGAGATTTAGGGGTAATTTAATGAAAAGCAAAGCAAAATTGGAGGACGTCACAAGTAAGCCGACTGTTCCTCGAACACGAAGATACAACGTGCTGAATCTCGAACAAGACAAAGTTGAAAAAGAACACCAAGTGCCGCACTCTGTAAAAACATTGTCATTTTCGAACACTGCGTCGCACCAATCATTAGCGCGGTGGTGTTTGTTCTTGTTGACTTTTCACAGCCTTGTTGTTTTTATGCTGTTACCAACTTGAATTCTAGTGGTTGTTGCTCGAAGGTGAAAAGCTTTTGGCGTAAACAAAGCTGTATTCTTTGTATGGAGCATCAGAGAATTCACCGAGCGAGATAATGAATCATATGCCTGACGAGGAGCTTGAGACAGACAGTGCGTTGTTTAAAACATCTCCAAACCTCTAGAATATACAATAAACTAACCAAGCCTCCGACACGGGAACCCTCAACGTAAGCCATTTATCTATAACCACCGTTTACAACGAATAATCAATAAGTTAGTTGCGCTAGAAGCCCCCCACCTGAAATGTAATTACATAGGGACGGACATGTACAATATATTCCACGCACGTTGGTGTGTGTGGTCAAATCTGCATTGTACTTAAATAAGATATTTAGCCAAAACATTACTACAGCACAAGTACTTGAACGCGCTTATACAAACAATTATAGCGGCCAGTAAAGTGAGTGCGTATTAACTTGGATTGAGAAATAGCACATAGGCTAGACGTATATACGGATTTGAAGAACAATTGCTAAGAGTACGCTTTTAAAGAATTCGAAAAACCATTATCACCTTTGTCGATACAATAGTAATCAAGGGTGTTTGAAAATTAATGAAGCGATGACGACCTAGTAAATACAGCAACTGAATTGGTTGCCAGATTCAAAGCTTAAACAGAAGAAAAGCAAGATGACTGTATTGGAACAAAACGTAGAAAGCCTTGAGGTTTTTCACTAATGAACGAACAATGAGTTGTAAAAAAAGATCTTCATTGTTGACTAACGAAGGGAAAAAAATTCCTAAAGCAATGTAAATAAAATATCTCTATGTAAAAAGTATATCAAGAAGCTTTCTTGTTCTACGATGTTAAACTCATTTGAAGGATTTTCGGCTCAACAAAGCTGGACCGGATGTGTTTAACAGTAGACATTGTTGAAAATTCATGAACTTGAGACGCCGTTTGAACAAAGCATTGAGTGGCGATTAGGTACGACTGATAATCGTTCAATTGTAATTTAACACTAAAGCAAACTCTAGGATGAAGGCCATTGGGATAAAAATCCTCGCCTGCAACGACGCGATAGTGTAAGGTATTTGTGTTATGAGGGTTGATAGTTTGGGCACCCAAGTTTATGGGGAACAGAACTTTATGGGGACCGTATCGCGTGAAAATGGAGTTCTAATCCGAGAAGGAATTAACGGATTAGTGTCATAAGACCAACTCTGGGTGATGCAGTCTTGTTAAAAAACTGCGGTTTGTTTGTGGTAAAATATACATATGGAAGAAAAGAAACCGGCTAATCTGTTCAAAAGGCCAACCTATTTGGTTAGATAACCTAAAGGGTCGTAAATTGATTGCCTAGTTTAGGATGTCAGTATAAACATGCTCGTGTATGTTACCGCTTAGCTAAGCTAATCGATTTTCTCTGCATAAAGTTATTTTACATGTAGAATTTTTATTTGCTTTAGTGATTTTTGTTCTCAAATGAATGTGAGGTTGATTGCTCTACGCGTGAAAAGGTCATTCCTTTTAACCCTCCTTATTTCACCGAAGTTTACGTGGGAAGCCTTCCCAACAATAGGTATATAATCCACAATCAATCTTTTGGTTCTGTCTCGCCTTATATCCATGAAAAAAGCACAAGTACAGTTCGGCTTGAAAGTGATAAAACTGTAGACGTACATAGACGAGCATCGCACAACAACGGTCTACAAGCGTTGTTTGTTTTTGAAACTAGCTTAATGTAACACGTTGTAAACAATAATCTCGGCGGGAAGTTTCATATACTCTAATCCGTCGAATTTCTAAACTATTGACTATCTTTCCAAGAATATATGTTTATATTACTCCAGTTATTGACTATAAAAGGAGATAAATTGAGCAGAATTTCTGGCCATCTTTGTACCGTTGAGCAACAGTCTTCGGCATATACAAACAAGAAATTGTCATTACAGAGGTCGTCTATCAATGGACATAAAACGGAAGTCGCCACACGCGTAAAAGAATTTACTTCAGTTCAAAACTGTTACATGAAGTAAGTAGATAACTGAGTTTGATAATACTTAATCAATGCTTAATTAATTCTTAATTAATGTTGTTAAAGAGATTAGGGGGAAAAGATAATGAGGGTTATTGTCAGTGTGAGAGATTAAGAATGACAAACCTCGTTAAAGAGAAAGAGATTTTCTGAATCCCAATATTTACACATATGGAACATAATTGTCTTCGTGTTCTGTTTATGAGACTGGTTTGCAAACATTCTTTTTTTCGTCTAAAATAAAGCATAAATTTTACGGCTTGTGAACTTTGCTTCATATGTTTTTGGTTCTGCTTTGTATTTTCACAATACTGTTGCGAATAGTTATTAATAATAATTCTTATTAAGTGCGTGGGTTGACCTGTTGATGGTATTTGCTTTTGAGAGACATAGCATGTGATATTTTCT